CTTCTCTCTAGGGCTTTCCTTTAACCTAGTCTTCTACTAACTCTTTGGCTTCTCTTTATCTTCTCTTTAGGCCTCAACCCGGGATTACTCTTCGTCGAATCAGGGTTGGAAATCTTCTATAACGTTAACGGTCTTGTCACGTGACTTGCGGCGAGCGATCAACTTGCGAGTTTAGGGATTTATTTAAATGAACGATAGGGGTAACAACAGGGTTTACGATGATTTATTAGTTTGTATAGGGTAGAGCTTCACTTTTATTAAGGGTCGGGTATTTATTGTAATTAGGGAATTTATTGTTATTAAGGAATTTGTGTTAGGAATGCGGGAATTATTCTTTTTCCCAAGGCAAAAATGCCCTTTATTTATAATAAACGTTTTGTTTACATTTACAGTTAATTTCTCTCATAAATGCATTATATTGCTTATATTCTATATCCTAACTAAGTCTAATAAAACGCTAATATTTCGTTTAACTCATATGTAGGCGAAGTCGTAGAAGCGACGTAAGTAACATAAGTGACATTTCCGTCACGTCCGTGTGACCTTGGATCGGGGCAGGATCGTCGTCTCGATACGGACACCCGTGTCCCCGAAAATCGGGCTCACAATATATGATATCATATTCAGAAATTTTCCGGCTGTTGAAAAGTCAGGCCGGAAATTGTCACGTGTAAATGTCGAATTACAGAATTAGTCTAATCGAAATTCATAATTTTGATTGGTTGATCTATGCCCTGACCGCGACAAATCAAATTTGGGTTGTTTTGGGTTACATGTTGTTTACTCAAAAAAAAATTTGATCATTTGCAATGCAAAACCTTCATATATTTGCCAATTTTCGTTCGAAGTTTGTAGTTTATTTTTTTTTCTGTTAAAAACTTCTCAATATTCATGTCTAGCAAATATTTCAAGCAAAAGTCAGTGGAGTGGAACATTTTTAACTTTCTAAACGAATGTAAGTTAGAACCTTATGAAGCGAAAATAGATAATTACATTTAAAGCCTCGAAACTATTATTAAATGTGAGAAAGGTAACAGGTCCAAAAAAGTACAGTTACTTCTTAAAAATTATAGAGAGGCAAGTAAAACTTTTTTGTTAGGATGAGAAATGTTGGCGTGATTGAAATGTGACCTACTAGGCTATCAATCATTAAAGGCTATTAGCCGAGCCACAAGCCAGTGTTGGGGCACAAATGACCTATTAGGTTGTTTGATGTTTAAAATGCTACTAGCCAATACGGCACTGGGCCTCCTGGGAGCACAGTTGACCTACTAGGTTGTCTGATGCCTTAGAAGGAGAAAAATAACTGGAATTGGTGGTGTATCAGTCAAAAAACATTACTAATTTTTTGTTCATGTCAGAGATCCGACCGTAAAATTGCCAAAAAATAGAAAAAAGAACATTCCCATAGTCGGATTCATCACCACCAGTCGAGATTTATAAATGGGTCAAACAATGGAACTATAAACGGAACCGGAACTTTGATAAGTGAACCTCCTTCTTACAGGCTTAGAAAAAGAAATCATGTCGCAGATCAAATTTTTCAGGAGCGTTACTACGTTTTTGATAAAAGCAATTTCGGTCATAAAAGCACATAAAGTATGAATCCTCCGGACAACAATTATACCAATTTTGTCTATCTTTATTGTTATAGTATGTTTTTTAAAAACTTTAATTTTGTTTTAGATTTGTGTTTACTTTTTTTTCTGTTAAAAACTTCTCAATATTCATGTCTAGCAAATATTTCAAGCAAAAGTCAGTGGAGTGGAACATTTTTAACTTTCTAAACGAATGTAAGTTAGAACCTTATGAAGCGAAAATAGATAATTACATTTAAAGCCTCGAAACTATTATTAAATGTGAGAAAGGTAACAGGTCCAAAAAAGTACAGTTACTTCTTAAAAATTATAGAGAGGCAAGTAAAACTTTTTTGTTAGGATGAGAAATGTTGGCGTGATTGAAATAAGACCTACTAGGCTATCAATCATTAAAGGCTATTAGCCGAGCCACAAGCCAGTGTTGGGGCACAGATGACCTATTAGGTTGTCTGATGTTTAAAATGCTACTAGCCAATCCGGCACTGGGCCTACTGGGAGCACAGTTGACCTACTAGGTTGTCTGATGCCTCAGAAGGGGAAAAATAACTGAAATTGGTGGTGTATCAGTCAAAAAACATTACTAATTTTTTGTTCATGTCAGGGATCCGACCGTAAAATTGCCAAAAAATGGAAAAAAGAACATTCCCATAATCGGATTCATCACCACCAGTCGACATTTATAAATGGGTCAAACAATGGAACTATAAACGGAACTGGAACTTTGATAAGTGAACCTCCTTCTTCCAGGCTTAGAAAAAGAAATCTTGTCGCAGATCAAATTTTTCAGGGGCGTTACTACGTTTTTGATAAAAGCATCGAAATCGCAATTTCGGTCATAAAGCACATAGAAGTATGAATCCTCCGGACAATAATTATACCAGTTTTGTCTATCTTTATTGTTATAGTATGTTTTTTAAAAACTTTAATTTTGTTTTAGATTTGTTTCAACTTAGTTTCACCTGTTTTGTGTTGTTACAATGCTGGTTATGTGGTAACACTTTCTGGATCACCTTTGTAAACCCTTATTGCATAAGAGAACCCAATTTTTTAAATAATTTTAGCATCGCCTTGCATAGAAGCTGTGCGTTCACTGCTTTGTTATTTTACAATAGACCACAATAAATATATTTGTCAATTCGTGTCACATTTATAAAGATTCGTGTCATTTTTATTTAGTTTCGTGCTTACGCTAACAGGATTGATTAAATACCGTATTGTTATATGTTTCGATGAGATAAAGTCTGCACCTCCAAAGTCCACTACCTCCATTATTAGTGTTAGAGGCTTTGTATCATCATACAAGTTTCATCAATGGTACGTATACAGCCCACCTTGAAGATCCGTTCCAAATGTGTATATAGGCTTAATTTTACTACGAAGGGTTACCCAAATCATTATGCTAATGCTAACTATAATTGTCAGGAAATGACGATAAATTAAACGTAATAGATACGATAATAAGAATTTTGTCCTGCTACCAGGTATGATTAAATTACCCAGGTTGACCAAATAATTTACCATATTACCCAGAATGACCATATAATAACAATTATACCAGGGTACTAACAGCTAAAAATCATGTAACCAACTATAAGGAGTTTTTTCAGTTCATATGATAACAAACTAACCGTATAGCTACTAATAAAAGCGGAGTTTTTCAAAACATAGACTGCTACACTATAAATGTAAATGTATACGTATACTATACCATACCCGGGTCTGTTATAGGTTTTAAAATTGTGGGATGTAACAGACCTGGGTCTTGTAATGCCCATTTACGGTACGTATTATAGAATTGTGATCAAACTCATGTGTCTATATTTGCAAAATTACCTTTAGAGCTACGTATTACTAATATTATGAAATTTTTTTTTGCTAATTGTTGTATATTAAAAATAAAATTGATTAAGCTAATTAATATTGTACGTATGTATACACAGTATATTAATATGTCATTAAATAAAGTAGTTTTACGTAGATATGTTTTACTGTACATATTAATCCGGAATAGCATATTAGCATATTCCGGAATAGATTATGAAAGGTGATCTGGAGTAGTAACTCCTCGGAATAGTATGTTTACTCTGGCAAAATATACTCCATGCCATTTTGGAAAAAAAAAATTAGCTGTCATGCAGAATCGTATGACATAGCGTTAGTCAACTAAGTCGATTTTATCGAACGTACGTATTGCTGTACTGTAGCGCCAGGCTACTATATAATTTTACTATATTTCAAAAAAACATCTATATTTATTACCTATAGTTATTATTAATAAATTTCATAAACTATATACGTATCGATAAATAATATATATATATATGTACATTCAGACCTTTCAAATGCAACCCTTAAATCACCACACCAAATGTAGCCTTAAACTCTGACACTCTGGCTCATTCTCTGAATGATTTTTATGAGCTACATTTAGGTCAATAAATATAAATTTTCAATAACTAGAATGATGTCATCATGTAGGGTATGTATGTATATGTATGTACGTATGTTAACATTAATCATGCTAACAGTTAAATAACATTTGTGTGGCATATCGATACGTATACGTACATAGTGTTAAACAAATTAAATTAATATACTTTTAGTACAAATAAATCTAATAAGATTGAGGTCATGACAAAACCCGGACACTAAAGACCGTATAAATAATTTTGGATTGGATATTAAGTTTTAAGAAAGGAAAAAAGTTTATACAATTTAGATACATTTAAAGTACGGAATCCAACGTACCAGAAACAATATTCTTTAAATGTCAACTTCCAAAAATAGTCAATATATATTCAATACGTGCGTAGATATATGTTACAACAAATCAGAAAAGGAATATATTGATGTTCGATAACAATCAGAGAAAAAAAGATTGTAAATAAATAAAGGTCGAAAACGGTAATGCTGACGGAGTATTACTACCGGCTGGAGAAAGGATAACGATAAAGGAATTGTAACAATATCGGCATTAGGTAATAGCTCCGTAAAAGCAACATAAAAATAGCAAAGATTTACGATAACTTGTTCAACACATGATTGTAAATCAAAATTAGCAATTTGTGGCAGGTTTCTTAATTAATAATTGTGATTTTTTATATAAAATGTGTTTTTTTTTTTTTTTTTAAACAAAAAAAAAATTTAAAAATTTCTGTTACGGAAATTTTTTTATTTTTATATCGATATAGTTATACGTATAGTTATAATAATTACCCACTAACCGCTATTCATCAACTATTTATATAACTATTCATACAACTATTCATATAAAAATTTATACATACATACGTATTCAGAATACCCTTAAAAATTAGTGCATTTGACAAAAATTTTTGTTCAGCCGTAAATTTCATGAAAATTCAAACATAGGATTATGTACCATTATAATACTATATAAACATGACTATAACATCATCCACCACAACTACCAGCAGAACAAAAAATAATTCAGATACTGACACTGAAAAACCAGTAACGTGTAACCGAAAAACACGGACATATTCTCGTACTCAACGAATAAAGGTCACTACAGTAGGAAAAGCTATTAGTACATCATCAAGAAAAAATTCAACACAAGAGAAACAACGATATGGAAACTGTTCAAAATGTAAAGAAAGTGACGTTAATATGAAAATATTGGGTGAACATGTTGAAAGACTTGAACAATTAGTCAATGACCTCGCCAAGACAGCCAAGGTGATTATTATATATTAATGTTAATAAACAGATGTTATTAAATGCATTAAAAATAAATGAAATGCAAATTTATTTATAATGAATTTGCTTTTTTTTTTGCGTGTAACTAAAGTGTGATGACAGATCATCAACATACAGTGGACAAAAGTTAAGGTGCCTTCCTGATCTATCGAATTGTAGTCTTGAAGACTTACAAAAACTTATGATAAACACCACAAATATTATGTTTCCTCAAAAATCTTCAAAAGTCGTTGATAAATCCAGTAACGAACAAGTTTGTAAAACCGTACCTATTCCAGTTCTTAAAGCTAACTTTCATGCTGAACCTATGGAAGATGTTTCTTATATTTCAAATGATAAATCTCCAATTTCTAAATTAAATGCATTTCGTCAAGATTCAGGATTTTCAGAATCTAAAGCTGGTATTGATCATTGTTAAAATTGATTCCAATGAGGAATATTAATATTTTTTTTCATTCTAAGTTAGAAAAATAGGATTATACATTATTATGTGATTATAATTTCAAAAGAAATAAATACATAATTTAGTTTCTAAAAACTTATTCATATCGCTGTAATGCAAATAAGCACAATAAATAACTGTAAATGCCACAATTTAATATTATATATTTTTATTAACATCATATTTTCTTGAAATTTGATATGTTTCGAATCTCTTTTAGTATAAGTAACAATATAAGTAACAATATTAGCAATATTATCACTTAAACTGTCAATTTTCCATGTATATACTACGATTTATACTACAATTCAATATAATTTGATAGCTTAATCACAGGCAAATATGATTGGAAACCAATTTAAGGGATACAAGAGAGTTTCATTTTAATAATAATATGTATTTCTTAAACTTATGATCAAAACCACAGTTTACCACCACAGGTCCACGAAGCTCAAAATAACCTCAATTCAATTATCCTGAAAATTATATAAGATAAAAGATTCCAACTTTTATAGAATTTACCGTATCACGTACAATGTGATGAATACGTATTAAAGGTGGTTGACCTTTTTTATTGTCAGCTACCTTTGTTAGTTTCGTCAAATTATCCTGATCTAGAAATGCTACTATTAATGATATAACGCAAAGTAATGCGATAAATTATACGTATTGACTATAATTAATAGTGTAAAATTTATACGTATGTATTTCTATATTTGTGTAATAAACAAGTATTACGTATTCAAAAGAATTCTGTGAATATCATAAAAGGACTTTTTTTAGAATTGGAATTTCTATGTTCTTAAAGTCTTCAATTTATTTATTAATTATTCAATTTAGAAATGACACCAATACTGTTTCTTAAAATGAATACGTATATCCTGATCAATTACGTATTAATTAATAAATAAATAAATTATTATTAATAAAATTTATTATTAATAATTTGTTAATAAATAAGTTATAATAAAATAATTTGTTAATAAATAAATTATTAATAAATAAATTATACCCAAATTTATACGTAATTTGTCAGTAATCCTTAACTAAAACTCGGTTTATTTAAATAACCAAATCTCAGAAATATTCCTTTTTGAAATTAAAACTTTCTAAACCTGATCGAATACATAGTCCCTAAAGTTTTGAACCTTTAACACCTAAGAAATTCCCCGAATTAGATTCTATCAAAACTTATGTAAAAAAGAATATGCATTATCGTTATCATTACACATAATGCAAATGTAAAAAGGTCAAACTACTTCATAAAAGTTGCCACCTAAATATATTATGTAAAATATATGTGTAACTAGCTAGTAAGATTCGGTTATAATTTAAGAGATTCCCTTGAATTACTTTCTACAGTTTTGTGTTTTAAATGATTTTTTCCTTGTGAAATCCCGATGATACAAGGCATATTAGCTATAAAATTATCTTGAAGTCTTTTTTCTTGAAACTGCTAATATATAATTCCCAATGCAAAAAGTTAAATTCTAATTATAATCTTAATCTTTTATGCTTAATTTTTAAAACGGTGCCAACTTTATCCACCTAGACCGTTTTTCAACTTGTGTATATCTTAGACTCAATTTTCCTATCTTATTTATTATCAATTGCTTGTTTACTATTTGCTATTTTTAAATACTTTTGTGCTGTTTTAAGATCAAATTCAATACCAGCTTCATGAAATTGTAGACTAACGCTTTTAAACTTTGCTGTCACCTCTTCATCGTATGCAATCCTAGATACTTGTATCATCGAAGGCATTTTGCCATTACTAAGATCAATTCCTCTACTACTTAAAAGTTGCGCGAGTTCTTGAATCGATTCAAGAATTGGTGTGACTATTACTTCATTAGTTTCAATTTTTTTATCATCTTTCATTCCACTAGATAATTTTGTACTATGAAATGCTACTGGTTGTCGTGGACATGTAGGCATTAATGTTATATTCATCACATTGGATACTGCATGTCTAAGTTTAATATGAGCATTGTAAATTATGTAAGGATATCGTTCATAACAGATAAAATGTCGAAAAAACATCTTGTCTTGGTAGCAAAAAAAAAAAAAATTATTCTCTTTTATATGAGTGGTTGATCATTACGATAATTTTACGTATGCTATGTACGCACTATTTCGTGTAACATTTCTGATCAGGCTCCTTATAATAAAATTTCCTATAACGATAATTTTAACGTTAAACGTTAATACTGGAACAAGCATGTAATTCATGTAATTAGAAAGTGGTTACGTCATTGATACAGATCACTATCTAAAATAGTAACTAACCTATCACTATCTAAAATAGTAACTAACCTATCACTAACCTTAAGTAAGATCTGCATCAATAACATCAATAACGTAACTACTATCTCGTATATTATAATAAATAATTATTGTATACGTAGCCATGTTATTGATGACTATACTAAAAATTCTTATATTTGTATAGTTTACGTTGTCACTGTTTCACCATCTTTTTTTCGATCTTTAAAATAATATACGTGAAAAATTCTTAATTGAAAAAATATAATATATATACTCGCGTAGTTTAATTTGATAACGTAATTACGAATAAACCGTTAGGATTAGACCGGTTTCGGACAGGGGTATAAACTAATTCTTAACTAGTTCGGGTTCAAACTTTTTAAGGATTTAACCAGGACTGAACCGGACTTTTAACATCTTTAGATTATGCAACTTGCATCTACAGTTGAGCAAAACTATTATTTCTTTAACAAGCTAAGATTTATATATGGGCTAGGTGCTGAGAAAAGGAACGAAATTGTCAATTTTTTCAAAAGTTGTTTTTTTACATATATCAATTTAAAATAAGATTAGGATTATTTTTCATTTAAGACTCAAAAGTAGTTGTGTTAATAAAATTTTGCAATATAGCTTCTTAAAGTTTGTATTTTCTTATATTATACATTTATAACATAAAAATTGATTTTTTAAAAATATTTTTTTTTGTTAATATTTGGCAAGCATTATATAAAAGTTCAGTTTTTACTAAATTACATTTCTTAATCAGTATTGCAATTTATTAATATTATATATTTGTAATTAATTAAATGTTACTTTATTGTTTTTTGAAACATTTATTAATATTAATAAAAATTAAAAAATTCAACATATTATTTGATAGTTTGTTAATAATTAATCTAATAATATGTAATAATCAATTAATTAATATATAATTTTTTAACTAATTGATTTAAAAAAAAATTTAAATTAGTTTATTAATTAAATTATTAGCTAATTCTTTTTCTTTTGTTTTTGCTAAAGCCAATATCTATAATGGCTATTACCTTTATTGTATTTTCAATTATATATATATATAACTTGTACAAGATAAGTATATAACTAATTATATATATATCTTTTGATTACCTATTTAAGTGGTTCATTTACAGGTTCTACATTAACTGTTATACCTATAATTTACTAAAAGATTACCTATTTAAATATTCTAATTCTTATATTGCATTAAGTAAATAGTTATCTAATTTTTGTACAATTAAGTATTATTAACTTAATATTAAATTTTTTTTTGTATATCTGTCAAACCATTACTCATTTTAAAATATATTATTTAATTGTAAAGCTCAGAGCATTCTCTTGTTAACTAACTAGTTAATTTAATTTTAAAATATTGTTATAAAATAAATTATTAGTATAATATAATATATTATTTTAGTAATATTAGTCATATATAATATATATATTTTTTGTATTTATATTAAAGTTTTTGTTTTTAAAAAATAATTTTATTTAAGTTATTATAAACACAAAGTTATGAGAAACTTTTTTATATAAAAAGTTATATACAACTACTTATATATATATTTTTAGAGTCTAATTTAAATAGTTTTTTTTTTTTTTTTTTTTTTTCGATATTAAGATGACCTCTTTGGTTCGAGCTTTTTATTAATACTTATAGCGGGTACATGTTTTATATAGACGTATCTATAATGAACTATTAGACAAGTGTACAACTGGCTACATGTGTAACTTTTC